TTTTTATTTTTCAGGGAAGTCGCTGTGTGAACCAAATTGAAAGAGGTTTGCCGAGACATTGAGAAGACTATTAATCAGACAATCCAGAACACACTCAACCAATTGGAAAGGACTGTGACCAGATTTCAACACTTGTTGATGAAGCCATTGAAGCTGATAACACCTCAAGGGCTATAATTTCGTGCTAAGGTAGCCTTGTACGCTTGAGTGCTAAGTAAAATTCTTGGAGTATAAAGTATTCTTTTTACTTGTTTTCTGTTTCTTAGAGTTGTTTCATGATAATTTCCTACTGAACGACTAGTATTACTGGCTCTATATAATTTAAGATTTCTTATTTTATGATATGCTTAGGTAATCTGGTTTCATTCAAAAACAGTAGTATATAATTAACAAAAAAATTGAGATGCACAAATCCTAATGGAAACTGCTTGATATTTCAGGCAAAAGGGATGGGACTCTCCTTATTTGGAATCCTGCTACCGATTATACTGATGCTGGAAGTTCTCCTTTCTTCTGCTCCAAAGGAACTTGTTAATAATCTCTTTGGAGAGTCACTTGCTGACACATTACAACTTATATGGTAGGTCGTACTGATCCATGTCTGTCATACTAGCATATATTTTCATTAGATAAATGTTTTTGGTGCAAGATATATATTGTATATTTATACATTCCTCTTTTTTCCTTTTGTTTAACTCAGAGTTGTTGAATTATTTAGATTTGTTTGTTTTTCAGGCCCCTTTAACATCTTTCTGGATGGCCATTGGTGAGGATAATCAAAATGGTGGTGCTTGCTGTTGTGCTAATTGTGGTCTGGCACATTCCTCATTATCTCTCGCTACTGCAGCAAGACAGGCCCACTTTACAGCGCCGCTCAAAGAAGGCCCTGCTTGAAAAGCGAGAATATGTTAATTCCCATGTGAAGGGACAAAAGGTAAGTTATCTTTTTTTCCTCTTGATTATTTTTGTAAATGTATGTGGTATTATAAGTGTCCCATATCATAGGTCTAGTGAATGATGTGTTGAACAGGCGTTATTCTTTTTATATATTTGTGTTCATTTTAATTTTTCCTTTTTGCAACAGAAAAAACTCTACTCAGAATACCTGCAGCAAAGTGTGTCTGATCAAGATTTATAAAAGTAGTCAGCTGAAGGCTTGTCTGATGATAGCAAAATGACACCTTGTTAAGTACAAAAATGAAAAGAAAAAGAGAGGAGAAAGGAAGAGGAATACCCAGTGCTAATTTATACTGTAAATGAAGCCAAGAAACATATTTTTCTATAAATCATTGAATGCATGGCTAGCATGACTGTTATAATATGCACACGCACACAATAACTCTCACTCTCATACACACTCACTCACACACACTTACACTCACACACACACTCACATTCACATACTAACTCATCACACTCACACACACACAATGCACATCACCATCATTCACACTTCACATTCACACTCACATTCACTCATTCACATTCACACACTCACATGCACATTCACATTCACATTGGCACACTCTCACTCTCGCTCTCACTCTCATGCATTAGTACACAAACACACATGGGCATGTGAACATGTACATCAGTGCACATACACATGCATATATTTATATGTGCACATGTACATAAATGCATATATAACTGGCACATGTTCACCTGTGCATATGCATACATATACAATTTACATTTATTCATATACATATACTCATAAATACACATTCACATGTATACATCCAATTTCATGTATACATTTACATATACACATTCACATGTATACAAGCACATATATACATATACATTTACATATATATATATACACTTACATTTAGATATGCATACATACACATGCATGTGAATATGTACTGCATTTATACTCATGTACATGGAGGGCATAAAATTTGTTTTAACAAATATTTACCTCTTAGCTGTAATAGACTATATTTGTGTAACTGTGTTAGTATGCACTTGTTTTGAGATCAAATAGCTACTTATATAGGATTTGTTTTTAGCAAGATGGTGATACTTCATTTGATAAAATGTTAAATTTCATTTTTGACCACTGGTTGTGCAAAGCAGAAATTGTTAAATGTTTTGAATAAAATAGTAGGATAGTCAAGATTTTTAATAGATCAACCTTACTTTTTTGGTTTCCTTTTGTGCATATTGTGCATACATAAATAATTTTGTTATATTGTCTGAATAGTATTTATGAGATTTACCATCAAGGTATGGAAAAGGAAAACCAATAAATAGATTAATAATATAAGGAGAAACAGATAACAAATTTTTAATATATCAAGCAATAACAATAATTGTCCACACATTTGCTAAATATAAACACAGATTAAATAGTTAATGTGACCATCAGTTATCCTTTTTGATGAATACAGGGAAGCTGAAGACAGATTAATTGGCTGAAAGTACTAATAAACTAATGTGTGAACTGATAGGGGAAGGGAAGGGGAGGCAAATAGTAATGTTCATAGAGGAGACAACCATAAATTTATGATGGCTAAAGTAACCTGAAAAAAAGGCAACCATTATTTGATCATTAATCTTCCCATTCATCATGCTTATTTTTCTAAAGGAAATCTAGATTTTACAATTATTTACAAAGACCAATAATGTATTTTTATAAGACCAATGATGTATAAGTTTTATGCAAATATTCATGAGTAAGGATTACCATGTTTTATAATCAAAATAGTTTCACACATTTTATGCTCAATAAAAAGTTAAGCAAACTAAGTAATGAAGGTGCCCTCATTCAAGTCATAGATTAACTGAAAATACTCCTAATAACCCAACTGCAACAGTAACAGTAACAAGCAAAATAAATGGTAATGTGATATTTTGAGGTCAATTCAGATTCTATGGTGAACGGTTTAGAAAATGTCAGACAAAATAATTTTTGTCTAAATATACAGTGCTTAGATCATCAGGTTCATATATATAGTAGTATTGCTTATCCTTAGAATTTAATTGTATATACTTCACTCATGTCAGGGTGTGATAGTGTATATCCGGTGTTAAATTGTGTATGTTGCCAGGACCTTCAGTATCAAGTTTGTAAACTGTGATAAATATGTTAGGTGATTAAACATTTTTTTGTCATGAATGAGCTAGACCATCAATTTACTCATAGATTTTTTTCTCTATAACTTGCTTCTACATAATACCAAAAAGAAGTATTTGAATATGATGTTTTTTAGTATATTTGACTTTATTTGTATATGGTATGCGAGGCAGTTTGCTTATCTTGAAGGATATTTGTTCAGTATGTGCTCAATGATATAAAGTTTGCAAATATTGAATGTTTTTTAAGAGTGCCAGATGTGGATTTTTCATCTGTTTCATCAGATTTCCTCCAGGCCTCACCACCTCAGGTAGACTGTCCTTTGTCTGGTTAATGTTAATGGAATGCAGTTGTAATTCTAAGTATATTTGTATGAATGGATGCTCAAAACAATTATTCAATATTCTTCCTTTTCCTTGGATCTTTTTCTGGTGTTTTTTATTATTTATATTTAGCATAGAACATGACACTTCAGAAATGTACTTTGTACAGTTGTGCAAAAATTGTTTAGATCATAGATTGGGTACTGCCAGAGTAATGCAGGTCATGCCAGAACCATGTAAGAAAATACAGTAATGAAAACTTAAAAGATAATGAAAATCTTTGCAAAAAGACAAAAAAGAAATAACTGACTCTTCTGTCAGCACAAGGTAGTGTTTACCATTGTTTTCCATAAGTCCAGTCTTCTGTAGATTTAAAGGTGGTTATTCATATTTTTAAGAATGCAGATATTTGCTTCCATGAATGAAATGTAATTTCACCAAACTGGAATGGCGATTTTATAATCCCTTTAGAATGTGTTTGGTTGTGAGTGTTCCTAAGTATTTCTTGTCCGTAAAGTTGCTCTGATGATATGCTTTTTATGTGTCAGTAAAGTTGCTTAGAGAGTGTTTGGCATAAATGTTAAGTTTATCTCTTATGAAAAAATGAATATTGATTCAAAGGTCTTGTTGGGTCAACCTTGAAAAGTTTAGAACCATTGAACAGACTGATCTGTCTTGTATTTTGTTTTTGTTCCTGTAATAAGGCCTTTATTCAGAATTTCTCATCTGCTTTCAGGTGAGTCACTATAACCATTATATTAAGCTATTGGATATTACCATTTAAGTATTTTTGTTTATTTCTGTTGTCAGCTGTACTTCTATATATTAATTTTAAGTCAAAGCTCTTGTATTTTTTCTGTTAAAAATAAAGAGTAAGATAACAATGTTTGTATGCTACTAGATTCCATATTCTTCATATTTTGTTAAGGCTCTTGAAATTCTTTGAATATATTTTTCTTTGTGAAATTTATTTATTTAGTGTATTGAGAGAATATAAATTTATAACATATATCAATTACTATATTAATATTTTTAGTCATTACTTTGTTCTATAATATTATTTGATTTTGCTTTAACCAATGACCTTGTTACAAATTTGGTTTGCAGGCCATTAACACAGGGTTACTGGTGTTCAATTGACAGTTTCCCGTTGGTGCTTGGTCCGTTTGGTAGTTAGTGAACAATATTAGATACCCAAAAGCTTATATTGATATAATTTTTTTCTTTTTCTTGACTTTCCACTTTAGGTTTTACTGCCTAAAAGTTTCACCATACAAATGATGCTGTTTTTATAGGAGAACAAGCTCTGTCTGATGAGCTGATGGTGCAGGAGTGATCCTGATGCGATGCTACCCACTACTTGGTCTACAACAGCCATGGCACGTACTCCCATGCCATCTGGTGGGAAAGGATTTAGCAAAGTAACTAGTATCTCATATGAACTGAAATCTGACTTTTATGTTAACTGATTATAGAAAAAAAAGTAAAAAAAAAAATAAATAAATAAAATAAAATAAAATAAAAGCATTACTTTATAGCTTCTGCTTGCTTCAATTCACAAAACAATAGTGTAAAAATATGAAAATGGTCGAGACAAAGAAACAGAACTTTAATTTTTCTTCTACATTAACAATCAAGAGTCAACCTGCCATCACTAAAACAATTGTGTAGTAACAGAGACTTTATTATGTATAGTATTGCTCTATAATATTGACTAGAAGTGTATGGAGATCTCTAGCTGCTGCTCGTCTATTTGGTGTTGGCTTGTTAGGGTTATTGAGAGGATGATGACCACATTTTTCAACAAGGGGAAAAAGTTCCGGAATTTTTGATAAGCCATATCGGTGGGCTGTGTAGAAGGCCTTGAGGAAGGTCTTCAGAAAATGCAGATGATGATAGCATTCCCTGTACAAAGCAGAAATAAGGGATATCATTAAGATGCAATTTCATAACTCGTTATGAGGTTGATGATAAGATAAGATTATTTGAATGATAATCTTCAATTTCAATATAAAATTAGACCGATACAAATTCCTGCACTTCAATGTAAAAATAGAGATAATGTAGAGCATTAAAATAAGTTAATGTACAACTAGGAAAGTCAGACTTCTTCAGCCTTGTATAATATTACAGAAAAGTAAAAGGAGTAACAGTAATAAGTATATGCAAGCAAATCTAAAAAAAGAAGAAGAAGAAGAAGAAGAAGAAAAAAAAAGACAAGTTTTTACATACCTTACACACAGCATAGAAATTATGATCTGATGAGACATGACCACAGAGATCTTCGTAAGAAAAGCTCAAACAATCAGCACATCCAAATCCATCATTCACATGCTCTGTGACATCTGAAACATATCATATTATAGGAAATGATATATGAACATTTAATGTTTTAAACAAATAATTGTACTAAACATCAAATGTCATATAGCACTGTGGTAAAATATTGCATGAAAAGGGGTAAAGAGGAGTTAAAGATTAAGATAAAATATGTTTATGTCGTAATTAGAGAGCATTATAGGATAGTATGGTAGTGAAAAGGGAAAAGAGGGGAGCAAGTGAAGTAGAGGAGAGATTTGTAGAAAGTGGAGGGATAAAGGGGTAGGGCAATTGAGTGAATTGCAATGTATCTGTGACGGGAAAGAATATGGACATTGTTCAAGGAAAACAGAGGTGGCTGTTGAAGTAGGAGGAGAAGAATCTGGGGGATGAGAAAGGGGGACTGGGGAAGGTGGTAGAGTATAAGGATGAATGTCTGGAGTGAAGGGGTCTGGTGAAGGACACTGTTGTGACAGAAGAGATTCAAGTGAGCATTCAGGTGGGAGTGGTAGAGAGGATGGGTATGTTGGGAGAGTGTAAAAGGAAGGGGGTGGGGGAATCTGAGGAGGAGGAGGGTGGATATTGGCAAGATACTTTAAATGTAGAAGGAGAAGAAACAGAGGGATTGGATGGTGGATGCGGAGGAGTGTTCCTTGGGCCATCTTTTTGAAGTTTTGGATGTTTTCAAGAGTTTCTGGAGGGGAGTTGGGTGAAGAGGACTGAGAAACAAAGGTTCTCTTGTGAGGAGGAGAAGTGGGGATAAATATCTGAGGAGCAGAAGAAGTAGAAGGTGTAGGAGACTATGTGGTAGGAGAGGGTGGAGTGGAACATTTGGGTTGCCTGGTGCAGCAAGTAGGTATTGGGGAAGTGTATAGATTGGGGAAACTGGATTTAAATTGGGAAAAGAATTTGACTGGGAGATTGGGCAAGTAGAGGTAGTATGGTTCACGGTATAGGGAAGAGATACTGGGGGAGATGCAGAAACATCTTGAGGAGATTTGGAATAAGTTGAGAGAGAAAAACCTCATCATCATGCTTCCTGTCTAGCCTCACATAGAGGGATGCCTTATTTGAATCTGAGGACTGCTACCTCACATTCAAACTTATAGGCAGGGCAGCTCCTATCAAATACAATATGGGAGTCTCCACAGGTGGCACGTGTATGTGAGTGATCGGTCATGACCAGGCTGGGCACACAGAGGGCAGCGAGCTGTGGAGCAACAATGTTTGGCAAGGTGGCCAAAACGCCAACATTTCTGACATTGATGAGGAAGGGGTCGATATGGTTGGACATTTTAGGACAATCCACAAATATAAAGTTCATGGGAGAGGTCATGTCTATGGAAGCTAATCTTGGCAATATTGACATGATTGATTTATGCTGGCTTCTGGGAGGAATAGTGTAGTACTGTACTGCCACTGCATCATAATCAGCGAGGCAGATAAGTAGTTATTTTCACAGGCTGACCAGTTCTTGTTGTAAATAGGAAATGCATTTGTAGTGATAGAAACAGTTCCAGTACAAGTATTAAGAGGGGTGAAGTTTGGCAGGAATGGATTTGCTGGTAAGATCAGTTAGGGTATATAGTGCCAAGCTTGGGATTCTGACATAACTGTGACAAGGTGTGGACAATCAGAGCGACTGCGAAAGGTAGCTTTGCCTACTTGTTTTTAGAGGCACTATTGAAAAAGAAGGGTATTCTCAGAGTAGGGGGCTGTGGGGGGGGGGGGGTCACAAAGAACTGATACCACTTGGCTGGGCCAAAGAGAGTA